CTTCAAGAAAGTGAGAAGAAACTTGGAACGTCAATGCCTTTAGATCAAGCAAAGGAAAGAGCTAATCAGTTGGAATCAGAAGTGACATTGCTGGAGAGGTATGTTCAGTGATCCAAGGACCTTTTCTTTTCATTGTTATTGTTGGGTCTGATGTGATGAACTGTAAAAAATTGATGCGTGTCACTCATTCGGTGTTCCTATGGGTTGGTAGTTATTCCTCGGAAATTTTAAAGAATGAGAAAATTTGCCTTTCTCCCCGAATCTACTAGAAAGATCGCTAATAAAGGTAGATTAAAGAAAGAAACATGTCAAAGTTTTCATTGACCTAGAAAGATTCATTAAGAGTATTCAAGAGATTCATTAAGAGTATTCAAGGCTGAGTGTTAAGTGTTGTCTTTCATCTCCAGTTTCAAGTCTCGAACTTAATTAACTTGTGTATCCCTATTTATTGCTTGATGAACTTGTTTTTTCGGTTACTTTGAGTTCTGAATAATGATCAAAAGAACATACAAATATTTTTAAAATTTTCAGTTGACTCTATTGTCCTATGCAATTGCTTATCTTTTCACATTTGTCGGTCTTAAGGTCTGATTCACTGCTGTCAACGAAAAGGACAAGGAAAGCCGATTTCAGCAACTGTTTATCCCGTTGTTCTCCTAAATCAGTCCATCTTTAATTCTGGTGTTACACACTAGTTAACAAATTTGAAGAAAATTTCCTTTTTTCTTCTTATATTTTATTAAGAGGGCAAATTACCGAACTTCTTTTCACATATTCTCTGTCCAATTACTGGTAAATCAAATACGTTTGCATTAGACAAAATGTTCAATAAGAGTTCTTTTCTCTATGAGGGAAACACAGGCGACAAGAAGGCGGCTATTGTTTTCCGAAAGTTTGAAATATGAGAGACTTTTTGAAAAATATTTTCAAGAGTAGGTTTCAATAGAAAGTCAAAAGTGTGCTCTTTTGATACAAGTGTAGTCAGAACAAATCTTCAAGTTGCTTTCCTATGAGCACGAATGAAAATTTCTATACAAATAGTCTCAATTCTATGCCATTATTCACTCCTAGTTTAATTATGACAAGTTGTTGGATCAAATTTCGTCCTGGTAAATTAATTGCGTACGGCATTGTTTGTGCATTTAGACGCTTGATTTTGGCAAGTGGAGTTGAAGGGATGGAGGGATTTCGACAAAGATGGAGTCTACATGGTTGCCTTACAGATACCAAGTAATTTATCTGATCTTTATGTTTTCACCTGGACAATGCCATCTAATCACAAATCACTAGTTTCCAGATTTAGAGATTTCATCGCTAGATAGTTCTCAACACCACACAAATATGATCATTGTCTCACAGGAGGAGATTGGATGCCCTGAAGCAGGGAATGGAGAACAGGAAAAAGGAAGAGCCAATTGGAGATTCAACCACCAAAAGGAGATGGTTCTTTTGGTGAAAATCCAGATTCCTTCCAGATGAAAGACTCCCTTTCAGCCTGTTTGATCCTAAAGTAGTTGAAGATGGAAATTCAAATCAGATAATAAGAAAAAGAAAGGACGATTTCCAGCTCCATTTCATGATTGGAATATGTCAATGTATGGATGATACATGTTTTTAAGTATAAATGTGGAATGGTTTTCATATATCAATTTTGCGATTTTTTTTTCTCTCTCTCCTGTTGGTTCTTCCAAAATTTGATTTCATTTTAATCTAGGAAGTACATTTCGATCTCCCTAGTTTCTATGTTGAAGTCGTCGTCTTTTGCTTGAATTAATTTTACCCATAACCATTGCAATGTGGGTCCTCATTTTCCAAAATGGCTTCAAACTTACTACGTAAATTCTGAGAATTAATCTAGTTATACATTTTGTTTATAAATTAAGTGTTGGCAAGATTTAGGCTATTGATTTTTGTTGATTTCGAAAACTGTTTTTAAAATGATTAGCTTAGATGGTGCCAACACATAGTTTGTAAATCAAGTTTATCAACCTAATTTGTACAAATAATATGACTCAAATTTTGACATCTCTGTTGTTGACGGTACCTAGTTGGTTTGAAATATGTCTTTTGGAATATACTTTAAGCAGAGACACCAACTAATAGTAATATTTATCGAAACTCACCCTTGGTCATAGGCATCTCTCGCATATGCAAGCAAAACCTGGAAAATAGCATGGAGTCCTGTTTTGCGCTATGCAATGCATCCTGAATCCGCAAGATCATATTCCACCATATTAGTTTCCTTTTAATGTAGTGAAGACACATGCGAAAATTGGACTCCACCCTTCTGCCACGGGACATTTCCTGCTCACGTCATGTTCAGAACGTCATAAATAGATTTTTCCCTCCTCAAATTTATCAGGATACCAGGATATACTTTAATGAATGTGTAGAAAAACATTGATCCGTACAAGTTTGCAAACATGTGGTGCACCTGGTCTGGTCTCATGAAAAAACAAAGTGATTGAACCAAAAACAACTGACCAAGATGTTCCATTGCTCAAATTGTTCTCCAATAGCATTACCATGGTGCAGGAGTCCAGCATCTGTTGCGGTCTTTAGGTCTGAGTGTCTCCTAGAGACCTGTACATACATAGATGTCCCGTCAATATATAGAAGTCAAGGCATAATCTTAGAGCCCAAAGCAATTTTTTCATTTTTCTTTTTTTAAAGAACAAAAAAAAGAGGGAGGGAAAATAGACAATATAGAATTTTCACAACATGGTTCGCCGCAATTGATGTCTCGGATTATGATAATCAATTCATCCAGGAGTTGGCTTACTGCTTGATACTTAAAAGGACAGAACAAAACTTTAATGTGAGGGGTGCATATAACTAACCTCCGATCACAGGAATAAAAACTAAGAGCGGTAAACGAGGAGGTACTACTACATATACAACTGTGAAAAAAGAAACATAAAAGCCAAAAGGCTCCTAAACGTGAGAAGTCCATGTCTGTCAATCTATTCTAGGGCTCGAAGTTGTCAAAACAAGTCAAGAGGACTAACTCCTATGATCTTATAGTTTCTTCAATATTGAGCAGCTAAGATGTTTAAACTACTCCAATCTGGACCTTGCTTTTTGAACAACCCCCTGGACGTTCAAGGAGCTTTTCCCACTCCAATATAGATGACTTCAATTATAAATTTGTAGAGACCAACTTTGCTAGCCACCATTCTTATATACGTATATGGATATGTAGGTAGGCACGTCCAAGAAAATCAAAATTTCAATTTCTTAGGACAAGTAACAAAAATGGTGATGAGGCAAAAGAAAATATATGTTGCACGATAATGGAAACCATTGAATAAGTTGTACTAAGACGTGGTTACAGTAAATTCACAGCAACTTCACCTAGTTCATACAAGTAAGATCATAAGTGATATGCCATTAAACAAATTCCTTTAAGGCTTTATGATGTATAATGTTCGGAATTCTGAGCACCAAGAGAATCTTTCAAATCACTACAGACTGCTTATAAAATTACATCAGAAAAGATTCAATTTTTCATTTCCTTAAAGAAATCTAGTACCAAATTAACTGTCTATTGTGTTGATGTCCAAACTATTTACCAAAATCTCACCCGTTTCCATGTTTTTAATCCAAAGAAGTTTTATTGTTTCTATCACTTTCTTCCTCTTTATAAAATCTATACATTCTAATATTCTCCTCGTATATTAATGATTTCTCCTTTTCAATGAGGGGTTGGAGACTTTCTGTCTGCAGTTTGTGTATGTATGTATGTATCTATATATCTGTTAAATGTGGCATTAATTTGTAATCTTAGGAAATAAATAAGGTTACATGCACTTGAAGAAAATGTATCAGGAAAATACATGATGCACTTGAAGAAAATGTATCAGGAAAATACATGATGCAAATTCATTAATTATTAGGTGTCCATTTATATTCCCATGTCTCTAGAGTTATCCATGTGGTCCTATAAATAGAGATCATTCTTGTAGTCTCATTGTAAAAAAAAAAAAAAATTATTGAGTGTGCTGTAGCAACTCAAAAACTATCAATAAAAATTCAAGTTTTTCTTCAACATTTCGTTTCCGCACTAACAAATTTGGTATCAGAGCCATAACTTGTGATTGCATTTTTTCATGGTTTTCATACAAACAGCTTCGTTGTTTACATATTCTTCCAGTCAAGTCCCAATCTTCGAAGGCGAGCATTATGAATACTGGAGCATCCAAATGCAAACTTTTTTCATCTCCTTAGATCTTTGGGATGTCATTGACGATGAGAAGTACGAAGAACCATCCGAAGACAATGAAGATTACGAAAAATTGCAAAAAGAATTTAAAAAAAAAGATGCAATGGCTCTCCGCTATATTCAACAAGGAGTCGGGAAATCAATTTTCCCTCGTATCTTTGGTGTTAAAAAAGCCAAAGATGCTTGGGAAATATTGATGCAAGAATTTCAAGGAACGGAGAAAACGATCGTCTTGAAACTTCAATCCTTATGGAGAGACTTTGATAATCTCCAAATGGAAGAACGAGAATCGGTTCGTGTTTTTTCTTCACGAGTAGCCGAGACAGTAAATCAAATCAAAAGCTGTGGTGACACAATTACAGATAAAAGAGTCGTGGAGAAAATGTTAAGATGCCTTCCTCCAAAGTTTGACCATGTTGCAGCCGCAATTGAAGAATCGAAAGACTTGTCCAAAATGACCATTTATGAGTTAACCGGGTCACTTCTTGCCCATGAGCAAAGGATCAATCATTCGAGTAACCAATCTACTACCGAACAAGCTTTCCAATCAAAGCAAACATCAAAAAGAAGAAAATATTATTGAGTGTGCTGTAGCAACTCAAAAACTATCAATAAAAATTCAAGTTTTTCTTCAACACTTCATTTCCGCACTAACAAATTTGGTATCAGAGCCACTTGTGATTGCATTTTTTCATGGCTTTCATACAAACAGCTTCGTTGTTTACATATTCTTCCAACATAATTTGCAAAAAAATGAATCATGAATCAAAGGAGTGCTACTTTAGATGCAAAAGGTGCAAGATCCCTAATCATTCTCAAAGGGATTGTTGGTTTCAAAATAAAGAGATGACAGAAAGAAAAAGTGCAGCAAACTTTTCTCAAGAGAATGAAAAGGAAATTCTGTTTTATTCTCAAAATTATGAAAATGGAGCTCAAAGCCCTTGGTATTTGGATAGCGGTTGTAGCAATCACATGACGGGGAATCGCAACATCTTTGTGGACCTTAATCCAAATATTACTTCACAAGTAATTCTTGGCGATGGAACATGTAGAGATGCGGTAGGAAAAGGCACCATTGCTGTCCAAATTAAAGAAGGTAACAAGAAACTCATCACAGATGTTCTTTATGTTCCCAATCTTTCTCATAATCTCCTAAGTGTTGGACAACTTATTCAAAGTGACTTCTCTGTCCACTTTGATGATGGTGCATGTAAAGTTTTTGACAAAAAGAAAAATATTTGTGTGGCAAATATTGAAATGAAGAACAAGACATTTCCTCTTATGATGCCACTAAATGAGAATTGTGCACTCAAGGCAAGAGACGAAGATTTGGCGTATTTGTGGCATTTACGATATGGTCATCTTCATGAAAGAGGCCTTCGTTTACTCCAAATGAAAAACATGGTGACGGGATTTCCTAACATCCAACACATAGACAAAATGTGCGAAGGATGCATCTATGGGAAATTGCACAAGTTGTCGTTTCCAAAAATTTCATGGAGAACGAAAGCACCACTTGAGCTTGTGCACTCGGGTATTTGTGGGCCAATGCAAACTCCCACTTTTGGAAACAAGAGATATTTTATTCTCTTTGTTGATGACTTCACAAGAATGATAT